CAAGACATATGTTGACTAACCGATCTTAACTTATGTCACACTGTAACAACTCAAACATTACAATGCTATGCATCATGAGGGTGAAAAAGTTAATTAATATCTCTCTCCTTCATAAATAATAATAAAACTTATTGAGTAACAAAGCAAGATTTAGAAATCATTCTTTTGGAAATTTTTATGTAGAATGTAGGCCTATCATTGGTGACATTGTCATAAAAACAAAATACATTTAAGTTTCATGTTAATTTATAAACCAGGGTTTTTTCATGTTGATAACAAAGTCGAGTCAAACAAGATGAGATTTTTTGCCGATCTTCTTCAGCAAGTCAGCTTACTTCTTTCTAGTTTCTGTGGGTCAAATGTCCTGAATGTCTGAATCTCTAAGCCTTAGCTTTCACAAAAATAATAGAAGAAAAATTTCTGTCAAAAATGTGGGTCCTTACTTTAAAGCATACACACATTGAGATAGGCATACCCTACCTACAATCCTGCCAGACCTAAATTCCAGTGTCCTACCTACAATCCTACCGTACATGTCATGTTATCAAAGTGAATAAGCTATTCATTTTTCCCATCATCATATCAATCATGAAATTCATTCACGTCAACAACAATGTCAACAAACACTATGTTGTATGAGTATTGAATAAAAATTTAATAATAATAATAAATAAAAGTCAAATTAATGTAAAAGAATCATATTTAGAAATTTGCAAAACTCACCTAAATTGATTTGTTGTTTAGATCCTTTTAAAAAGCCGTAACAGCCTAAATGAAAGAAACAATAACATTAACTATTATTCAACACGTGCACGTAGTAAGAAAATACATCTCGCGGGCTTCATCAGTAATTTGATTGGTCAGTTGGCTAGATTGACTTTCGACTACCGACACTGTTGTAACACTACCGACTGCTCAATCCTGTACATTTTAGATGGAATACCGGAGTGAATTAGACTTTCTAAATGCTGTTAGATAAATAAACAAATAGATAACACATGGTGC